CGGCGGAGCGCCGTCGTCCTCCCGGGGGAGCCCCCACCGCCTGCCCGCCCACTGCCACGGCTTCACGGCCAGCCCAGCGCTGGCAGCCCACCGGATGCCGACGGGGCGGAGGGAGAGGCTGACCCTGAGCATGAGCCTGTGCGGGATGTGGGGGCTGAGGCTCCCCAAAAAGCCAAGGTGAGGGTGGGGTGGCTGCCCGGGGCAGGCAGGGCTGGCGGGGTGCCGGGGCGGGCTCCTCACCCCTGGCAGCTGCCCATGGGCGCCCCAAAACCACCACTGCCTGCGGGTCCCTGTGGGGTCACTCCCTGCCCTGCAAAGGCAGGCAGCGTGGGAGGGCAGACCCTTCTCAGAGCAGCGGTGGGGGCTCAGACCCCTCTCAGAGCAGTACAGGGGGGTCACACACCTCTTGGATTAGCATGGGGGGGGTCAGCCCCCTCAGAGCAGTGTGGAGGGGTTGGACCCCTCTTGGAGCAGTGTCAGGGGGTCAGACCCCTCTTGAATCAACAAGGGGGGCAGTCCCTTCTTGGAGCAACATTTTGGGCTTAGACCCCTCTTGGAGCACCATGATGGAGTCAGACCCCTTGGAGCAGCCTTGGGGATCAGACCCTTCTCAGAGTAGTGTCATGGGGTCAGACCCCTCCTGGAGCAGGGTTTTGGGCTCAGACCCCTCTCGGAGCAGCATGGCAGGGACAGGCCCCTCTTGAAGCAGCCTCGGGGGTCAGACCTCTTGGAGCAGCATGGAGGGGTCTGACCTTTCTCAGAGGAGTGTCATGGGGGGGTCCAGGACCCCCATAGCCCTGTGCAGCGAGATCACCTTGGCTCTGGCTCTGGTCCCTCTCTTGGGGCTTTCTTTTTGGAGGCATTAGGCGAAAGTTGGTGTGCCGGTACAGGGGACAGTGGCTTTGGCAGTGCCAGTGGCATCTCCCAGCGATGTCTCAAATGCCAGGGTGTCCGTACAGGCTTCTGGCAGAGGTCTGTGCTAAAGGGGAGAGGAGGAGGAGGAAGGAGGGGACACCAGAGCCACCCCAGGGATGGTCCCAGCTCTTCCAGCTGTCCCCTCTCTGCTGCCATTGACTGGCTCTGTCACGATGCAGAAGTCACCGCTCGGGGTGCCGCACTGTGCTAGTTCAGTCCACCTGATGGCATGGCTGCTGAGTGGCAAATCTGAGCCTGGTATAAGATTGCCCATGTGGCAGTAGCGGCGAGGTCAGTGTAATAAATCTGTATTATCTCATCCCAAATTTCCAGTGAGGCAGAGAGCCAGCAGCAGAGCATGGTGGTGTATGGGATCTCCCCTGGGAAGATCGGTCCCTCTCCATCAGCCTCAGGGGTCCCTGGGGACTGGAGGGAAGGATGATGTTGGGTTTGGCTGGAGGGATGCTCTTGGTTATGGGGTGAAGGCTGGGTGCTGTAGGGGGTGGGAAGCCAGGGCTGCCCCCTCACCCGTGGGTGACTCCCCTGTGCTGGGGCAACCACGGTGCTGCAGGAGCTGGAGCTGATGGAAAACATCTTGACGAGCAAGCAAGACGAGAGCTGGGAGCAGCGGGGCCCCCGGGCCTCCTTTGCCCGCCAGGAACGGAGCCGCCTGCTTTGGGAGGATGTCAGCGTCATGGAGGAGGATGCCACCAAAGTCACCGCCCTGAAGCTGCGGCTGGATGAGTCCCAAAAAGTGCTGCTCAAGGAGCGGGAGTGAGTGCTCGAGGCATCATCCTCATGGGGTCCCAGCCAAGCTCAGGCCTGTCCCCACCGGGATGGAACGTCCCATGGGGTCCTGCCGGCTGTCACCAGTGTTTCCGCTTCCCAGGGACAAGCTGGCACTCAGCAAGAACATCGAGAAGCTGGAGGGCGAGCTCAGCCAGTGGAAGATCAAGTACGAGGAGCTCAACAAGAACAAGCAGGAGGTGATGAAGCAGGTGAGCAAGGTGCCTGGGGACCAGGGGTGCCCTGGGGAGTGGCCTTTCCCCAGGTGGGTTGCATGTCCTGATGGTTGAACATGGTGACCCACAGCCACCTCCCCAACTCCCGGGTGCTCATTAAGGGTCTTGAATAGTGCTGTTGAGCCACTTGGTCCGTCTGCAGAGGTTGGGTGGATGGGTGCAGGCAGGGCTTGGGTGGCACAAGGTGGGTGCTCGCTGCCCAGCTTGGGTGCTGTGTCCCCCCTACAGCTCAACATACTGAAGGAGATCCACCAGGACGAGCTGGGGCGCATCTCCGAGGACCTGGAGGATGAGCTGGGCGCTCGTTCCAGCATGGACAAAAAGCTGGCCGAGTTGCGTTCAGAGGTGAGGCTGAACCCCAATGCAGGGGGCCAAGGGAGCGGCGAGGGGGGTCCCCACTGCCCCCCAGCCACCCCATGTCCCTCTCCCAGATGGAGCGGCTGCAGGCAGAGAACGCAGCTGAGTGGGGCCGGCGGGAGCGGCTAGAGACAGAGAAGCTCAACCTGGAGCGGGAGAACAAGAAGTTGCGGGCGCAGATCGAGGACCTGGAGGAGGTCCTGGCTCGCAAGCGGCGCCAGACAGCCAGTGCCCTGGACACCGACCTCAAAACCATCCAGGCTGAGCTCTTTGAGAAGAACAAGGTGCCATGAGGGTGGTGCCATCCCCCGCCATTCCCTCCCTGGGTGACCCTGTCACTTCAGTGGTGGCTCAGTGTCTGCCAGGACCTCCTCAAGCCCAAACTCTGCCACCACCCTTCATGTAGGGGAAGGTGGTGACCCTGTCATTGCTCCATCAGCTCCTCCATCATGGGGTGGGGTGGTGGGAGAGGTCCCTGGGGAGGGACTAAGGGGCACCTGGCAGTGGGGGTGGCTCTCACCCACTCAGCCCCCCCACCCTGTGCCCACCGCAGGAGCTGGCTGACCTGAAGCACATCCACAGCAAGCTGAAGAAGCAGTACCAGGAGAAGATGGCTGAGCTGGCCCATGCCAACCGCCGCGTGGAGCAGCACGAGGGAGAGGTGAAGAAGCTGCGCCTGAGGGTGGAGGAGCTGAAGAAGGAGCTGGCCCAAGCTGAGGATGAGGTGGGGAAGCTTGTGCTGGTGGAGGACGTCGGGGGGTGGGCAGCTCCACTGTCTCTGTGGCTGCCAACAGCCCCATCCCATCCTTCAGCTGGATGAGGCCCACAACCAGACGCGGAAGCTGCAGCGGTCGCTGGATGAGCAGACGGAGCAAAGTGAGAGCTTCCAGGTGCAGCTGGAGCATCTGCAGTCCCGGTGAGCAGGGGACCGGGGGGGATCATGGTAGAGACCAGCAAGGACCCAAGGGTGGGATGACGTTCTCCTTGCCACCATCCCTCAATCAGTATCTCCCTGGTTGAACCCCGGGCTAAATGCAGACAAAGTGCTTCCAACATCCTTGGAGGGTGCGCAGCCATCCTTGGAGCAGCCTTCACCCGCTGCAAGCTGGATGGCATTCACCTCCCAGTTAAACCAGCAGAAGGCTGCCCACAGACCAGTACAGCCCAGTTTCACGCTGCTTGGGATTTCACCTGCTGGTACCCAGGGCCAGGGCAGGCTCCAAGCATCACGCGCCAGTTTGGGGAGGCGGGAGGTGGGTTTTATTGCTGTTAAAAACTTTCCCTGGCCTCGCTTTGCCTCTCCAGCAGTAAAGAGCTGAAATGGCCGTGAGAGATCGATGCCGCATCTCTGGGAGGTGCTGGGGGGGGGTGTTTATAATATTCCTTTATTTTATTGGGACATCTTCATTAAATCATGGAGGAATAATGGAGGCTTCATCTTCCCCCCCTCCAGCTTCCCTGCACACTCGCCCTTAAATAATTCACGCTTTCCAGTAAAACGCAGCAAACTGGTCGGATCTGACCGAGTCCTGGGCCTTTTGATTTCAAATTTGCTTCATACATTTTTGTTGAATAATTTTCACACAAGGGCGAGTGAGGAGGTAAAACCACCACAGGCTCCTGGGAGTGGGGACTCTTGGGTTTTTGTGGGGGAATCCCCCTTGTAGGGGGACGACTCCTCCCTGCTCTGCACTCTCAGCTGGGTCCCAGATGCCCAGCGTGGCGGTGTCCGGCCCTGCAGGGTTTTAGCCGGTGCCCTGCTTGTGGTGAGCATCATCCGGCGCTCCCTGGCCCTGCACTGGAGGGTCAGCCCCAGGATGGGGGGCTGATCCTGCACCCAGAGCTTGGTGGGAGCTGCAGAAACAGGATCCCACCAGGGTGCAGCCATGCTGTAAGGGTGTGGGGGGACAGGCTCGGCTTTGGCATTGCCCTGGGGCTGCGCCCTGCCGTCCCCCACCCCGGCAGCTTTCCCTCGGCAGGCTGCGGCGGCAGCAGAGCACCCCGCTTTTCGGCAAGATGCGCAGCACCCGTTTCGGCCCAGATGACGCTGGGGACGGCACCAGCGACCCCGATGAGGACGAGGACCTGCAGATCCAGGTGCCCTAGAGCCCAGGGCCAGGTGCCACCACCACAGGGACGTCCTATGGCAGTTCTCTGCCCACAAGTGCCTGTCACTGCAGAGCTCGGCCATGTGGTAACCCTTGTATAGATGGGGAAACTGAGGCACAGAATGGCAGGGAGGAATTTGCCCAGGGATGCTCCAAGCCCGCTGCCTCTTGGACAGTATCTGATGCCCCTCAGCCACCAGCATTTCCTGGGACACAGATGTGGCCACCAAAGCCACCATCACTGAGCAGCCCAAGAGGAGGAAGCGCAGGGCAGAGAGCAGCACCGAGCCCTGCAGCCAGCCACGCTCTCCTGCCCACATTTTCTATATATATTATATATATGTATGTATTTGTATATGATTTTTTTTATTATAAATACAGAGCCCAGAGGGGCCCAGGCTCTGGTGGTGGTTTGGGCTGCTGCGCTGTCCTCACGCAGGAGTGAGGATGGAGGGGACGGGGGGACACGGCATTTCTCTGCAAGACACACAGAGGGCTGGATGTGTGGCTGCTGGCGTCACCCCACTGCCATCACTGTCCCCACGCCTGAGGATGAGCCCATCTCATGGGTAAAGCCCATCCCTGTGCCTATGAAGTGAGAAGCGGGAGCTACGGAATAGCTCGTGGCCACAGAGCTGCCTGCATCTGCAGGGCTGTGGCCAGGCAGGCAGAGGTGTGCACGTCTGGGTGCTCACCCATGGGTGCAGGGTGCTTATCTGTGGATGCAGAGTGCTCGCCCTGGGGAGATGCAGAGGTGCTCACCCTGGGGAGGTGCAGGGGTGCTCACCCGTGGGTGCTGACCCCCCAGCCCAGGCCCCTGCAGCCCAGCCCCTGTGGCCAGCCCACAGAGCAGGGCCTCGCGGGGTTTTGGAGGAGTTCAGACACAACCTTATTAAAAATTAATATTTCAGTGAGCTAATCCCCTCATGCTGCCTTTTAATTGATTGGCTAAAAGCATGGCTCTTTGCTGCTTGCGGGTTTTTTTTTAATGCCCTTATATTTGCAGCGATTATTCATTTTTTTATGGCCCAACAAACGAGACTGCGGGGGTGGCAGTGACTGCAGGTGGTTTTGGTGG